ACAGCAATATCATTTGCCACCACCTCTCTCAGGTTTTCTTGCATGTTTTCCCTCAAGCCCCTGATTCTTAAAGCGAACTCCATCTCTCTGTACTGAGACATAACAATTTCATCCTGTGAAGTTTCCACCATTTTTTCCACACTTTCAACCCTATCTTCCAATAAATCCACTTTATCTGCAACATCCTCAATGCGAGAATCCAGCTTTTCAACAACAGAAGCAAGTCCTTTCAAAGCCAGTACTATGTCCTCCCTCAAGACTTTGTTTCTCTCTTCTAAAAGCTCCTTCATTTCTTCTCTAATTTGACATACATTTCCCATAACATCTTGAATATCTTTTACTGTGAGTGGTGGTACAGACGGGGAGGATGGTGGTGATCTAGGTTTAGGTTGTTGAGCTGGTAATATTGCCGGAGAAGAAGCCACCTTAGGCACAGCAGAGGTCGCTTGACGCTTTGAAGCCATTTAAAAAAAAAAAAATTTTCTCCTTCTTAAAAAAAAAATCCGAAAAACCAAAAAAGGAAACAAAAAGAAAAAGGAAAAAAACCCTTTTCTATCTGGAAGAAGAAGAAGTATTCTCCTCTTACTAACACCCAAAGTCCCAAAAGTTTCTGAAACTATTATAACAAAAAAAAGTAAAGAAGTAATAAAGTAACAAAAGTCCTTTCACTTTCCTTCCTACAGCAGCATTATTATTATGGCTAGCTGAGCTTACATCCCAACCCCCTGCCCGCTGCACCTGATTTTTAAAAGTAAGAAAAAGCATGTTAAAGAAGAAGAGAAAATATCTGCATTGTCATCAGTTGTCAGAGCAGGAACATCCAATGTTAGCAGCATTGACATCTAGCATAACAAGGATCTCAGTAATAACAATGTAACATAAGCTACTATAATGGTATGTTATAGTACCATAACATACTTCCATATTGTGAAAGTATAATAAAATATTACAATCTATGAACTAAAAATGCATGTCACTTAAAGCAAGATAGTTAATTTTTAATAAATTGAAAGTGATGAATAAAACTGAAGTGATTATACCTGTGACCAAATGCTTTACTTTCATTTTGGTAACACAGAATTTGGATACTGCATAATAGATAAGGAATTTAGAATGTTTTAAAAGATGGTTCACATAAAAATTGTCTGCCCTTCATGGAAATTTACATATTAAGGGCAGAATGTAAGCAGACCTAATATCCCTCTAGAATTACAACAAAGCAATACTTATGAAATGGATTTGATCTCCTTATTACCATGTGGGCAGATATGCTCGGTTAAGGGGGTTGGGAATATTTGCCTTGCAGCAATGGAGATAGTAAAATGTTATGTCTAGCTTTGAAAAAAAAATGTATCCTCAGTTTGGGGGATGTTAGATTTTGTAGGTACCTTATTGGTCCCCTAATGCCCTAATTTATCAAATATTTGCCATCCTAAGGCGAGCTATTTTGGTCTAAAATTCCATAACATTTATGTTTCGGTGAGCAGTTGGCTTGGTAATACTCTAAAAGTACAACCATATAATGCCAATATTTGTCTATGACTTGTTTCCAAGGAGAAGGTAAATTATCTATTCAAACTAGAGAAGACAGGTCAAGTGGAAAGAATTGCATTTTTAGCTAGTAGTTTATCTTCCTCCTTCAAGCCTTGATCTGGATTGCAGGCATTTCTTTTTCGAGCCATTTTTCCATTAGGGGCAATGAAGACTGAGCCACAAAATTTTTTCTGCACTTATTCCAGGTTATCTTTCTTCACATAAATTCCTTTTTATGCTCTGTAAATGCTGCAGGGTTTAGATGAAATTCAACACTGGTATATATTAGATTTTATTTAGTTCAGATGAAATGTTATGCCCCCTTGTTACTACAAAATAAAAAAGGTCTGAACATACCAAACTTTACAGTATATTTGTTATACTGTTATTTGTTATTTGATATTTGTTAAATTTTATGTCAATCAATTTTGAACAATGATTTTGATTTGCCTTTGTAGCTAGAGTTTTGCATTATTGATCTTGGACAATAAATTCCTTGTCATTTCCAGGTTCAACATTCCCTGCTTATTTCCCACTTATAACTTCTTTATGCCAACAGTTCTCAACAAACTTAGTTTTACTTTGTGAAGAACATTTCTTATGTTCATATCTGTCCTCTTTCATCTAAACCATTATATTCAGGATTGAAAGCAATGTGTGTTTTATTGGGGCCATGGTTGAGTCTGAACTGTTGCCCTTGTTCCTTTTGACTCTTCCCATTAGTGCTGAATCCAGAAGAAAGAAGGGTTCATTCAGGTTTGGAGTCTGCCTTTCTGCTTCATACAAGAATCCATATTAAACATCCTAAAAAAACTCTAGACAATAGCTGCAGTTTCATGTTTGTACCTGCTATTTTGACTTTTTTGACCACAACCCATTTTTCAACTTTTTAAAATATTATATTATGATATGATATGATACGATATGATATGATATATTATTACTTTTTATTTAGTCAGGCATTGTAATTGTTTGAATTTGTTAATTTTTTTATCTTAATTGTGACAGATTTTCATTATGTTATGTAAATGTTTAATAATATTGGTGTACTTCCCTGGTATGGATAACAATATAAGATGGTTTTAAAAAGTTTAAATATAATCAATCAACAAATCTTTTGTGTCATATTTAGTTTTAGGTATTTTCTTTCCTGTAATAAGTATTTTTGTGCATGTAGTCTTCATCACATCTTTTATCAAATAGTAAACAGAAGAATAAAAGCAGATATTCATAGACACACAGATATATACATGAACAAAGAAAAGACATAAAAGGAAAAATGTATTTGTTAGCAACATTAATAGTTGCCAGAAAACTACACACCAGTTTTATTTTGCCTCTGGCTCTGTTTTGATGTATGCTGGTTATATGCTGGTTTCTTGTGTGTTTTTAGTTCAATGCTGGATTTTTCATCAGATTTTATGATCCTATTTCATAATGTTCATGTATTAAGTTGCTGTTTAAACATTGCCTTCAGCAATTAAGATAAGATTCTATTTTTTAAAAAAAGAAAAAAACATGCTTGTTCAGGAATTGAAAATAGTCTTTTTTCTTTTTCTTCTCATTTCTTTTCTTTTTTGTTAATAAACACAGTAGAGTAATAAACTGAAAAATTTGTATCATGAACTACAATAGAAATTGTAAATGTTTTCCATAAAATTGAATGAAATGTAGATTCAATTTGAAATATAATACTTAATATTTCAGGAATTATTTTATCTCTGAATATTTTTTCTACATAGGACCATTTAAAATATCATATCATTTGAACTTGGCAATAATTAAGGTACCTCTGAAAGCATTCTAGGAAAGTTTCATAAGACAATTTCAGAAGCCATATCCCAATTCCATAAAATGCATATTTTAGAATGTTTGCTATAGATTAATGAGAATATTGAGAGTATTTACTCAAGAATCAAATGTTCTTTCAAAATTCAAACAATGTGAAAACATTACAGTGACATTAAGCTTTTATCATAACAAAAGGAATGGGTAAATATTTCTTTATGTTAATGCAAAATAGAGGTTGCCAGAAGCAACACAGGGACATGTAACATTGCTGGTGGCATCCCTAGGTTCTCAAAAATCAAATTAACATTGATTTAGTAAAAGTGGCTGAAATTTCAGATCCCCATATCCCATGATTTGATGTTCTAGCATGAAAGGCTAGAACAGTTTGTTCTAGAATGGCAAGAACCTGTTAGATGTTTAATAGTAATTATAAAATAAGCTTAGATGGTATAATTTCAGGAGACTTTGGCCATTTGTTTTTGTTTTTTGCTGTTGTGAAAAATTGCAAGTAGTACATGGTCTCCATAAAAGTTGCCAACTTCTGGTTCTAAGTCAACATTTGGACTAACCTAGAATAACCATTATACTGCATTCAGGACTACATAACAATAGTATCACAGTGTTTCATTTACCCCATAATTTTTAATAAGTGACTCAGAATCATATACTAATAATATCTTAGATATATTCCAAAAAATATGTTAGCAAATGTAAGGTCAGGTTCATATATTGTTGCTTCAGAAGAACAGGTACGAATATAGAAATGATAATTCAAACAATTTATTATTAGTGCTTACAGAATAATAATATGTTAATGATTTTTAGCTAATATCCCAAGGAAGGTAACGGCCAGTTTCTCTTCTTATTGCATAATTGCCTTATTGTCCAAAGACACATTAATTACCTGCATTAGCTGATCATGCAGTTCAATAGAATACATTTGCCTTACCCTGGATGTTCCCAAGTGTTAAACTGCTGAACATTGTTTTTATATTGGATTAAAAATATCTCTTATTTCAGGATCATACTTTACATTTGCTTCTCCTCCCTTTAAAAAAAAAAACTTATTCTGTAATGATCTTTTTGACAGCCTATAAATTACACTGTTCTGCCCTTTGCAAGACCTTCAAAGGACAGACCCGGTATGAATATGAATATAAATATGAATTCACATATTCCCATATAAGCATGCACACATACTAAGGCCTAATATCTTCTAGCGAATTCATATAACTAAACCAGATCTGGCCTATGTAATACCGTTTGTAATGAGAAATCTAAACAGGGAATGGCAGTGAGGCATGACAGGAATGTGTTTCCATTGGAGAACTCAGTATAGAGAAAAAGTATAAGCAAGCCCATGTCCAGAAGGCCTTTTCAGCTGGCCAAGACGGAAGACTAATGTTATTGTACATTTGTTGTCACTGTGCCAGCTCTCCCTCACTGATTTGTTTTCTCTTATTTTTCTTTCTTTCTTTCTTTCTTTCTTTCTTTCTTTCTTTCTTTCTTTCTTTCTTTCTTTCTTTCTTTCTTTCTTTCTTTCTTTCTTTCTTTCTTTCTTTCTTTCTTTCTTTCTCTTTCTCTCTCTCTCTCTCTCTCTCTCTCTCTCTCTCTCTCTCTCTCTCTCTCTCTCTCTCTCTCTCTCTCCATCCCCCTTCTGCTAACTGTTTGCTCAGGTGGACAGTGACACCATTTGGAATGAGCTGCATTCGTCCGGTGCTGCACGCATGGCTGTTGGCTGTGTCATCGAATTGGCTTCCAAAGTAGTCTCAGGAGAGCTGAAGGTGAGGTCTGGGTTGCATTGTGTGTGGGAAAACTAGGAAAGAAGCTGAAAGCAATGTTGTTCTGAGATTAGGGGGAGGGAAGGGAGAAAGAAGGATGGGGGAATATAGAAGGTCACTAAAGAGAGATGATCAAAATGGCCCTGCTTGTTTTATTACTTCATCAAGGAGAGTAGATGTTACTATATCAACTTCATCCTTATCATCAATATTATTATTTGTTATCATACCACATAATTGTTTACACAATTATTGTCCAAGTGAAAATGACTCAGAGGATGTACAGATCTGGCATGCAATTCCACAATTCCCTTTTGAACCTTTTTCTTTTTATCTTACAGAGTTTTTAAGTACAGCTTCAAAATGCCACCCAAAGTGAATAAAAGTAAATAATGTCTTGTAGGCTTTGAAGAAAGAATGATATTGTTGATTAGATGGTTAATGGTGCAAAGTATGTCTTTGATAGAAATGGTCTTAGAGCTCAATTTCTGAGCTTCCTTTTCACATGATTTGAAAAGAATGAGGTATAAATTCTGACTTATTGCCAGTCTAAACAATTTAGAAAATCTACCTTTTTGACAGATATTAACTTATTATCTGATATTTTAGAAAATCTATTTAGATGTTTGACTGTACAGGTGTATAGACTGAATACTCAGATGCACCAAGCACTACTTGATAGCAACATAATGGTTTACAAACCTTTAAGCCAGTGAGTTTGGATCTCTCATAGTAACCATATTCAAGAAACAAGGTTTACAGCTTCCTCAGAGTACATAGTTTAGCTGGAAGGTTTTCCACACAGTATTAGGAGATTTTTAAAATAGATCTGGTTCAATTTTGACCATAAGAAGATGTCACAGGAGAGGTATAACTGCAACCAAAATAGCATTCTCTACTTCATGTGAAATGTCTATTAGTGCCATTAAACTGTTGTAAATGTTGATGCTTCTATGATGAACATGTCTAGATGAGTATGGACATTCACATATCACTTTCTATTGCCTCCCATTGTCTAATGTGACCTAGGTACCCTTCAGATTTGTGGACTTCAACTTCCAAGATGCCTCCAGTAATGGGGAATGTTGAAGTTCACACTTGTGAAAGGTATCCAAGTTTGGAAAAAAAAATATGCTTACCATTCCAGGAGGATAGAAGAGGAAAAAGTAAAATAGCAACCATAGTTGCCAACCATGACATCATTTTACAGTCTAAGGTGAATATATTTAAAATTATTGTAAACTCAAATAGATTTGTGCCTATAATTAAATTTCTGTATGATGGAAATTCTGAATATATGTAAAACTAAGAACCATGGTTGAATTGATGCAGTGCTAGTCCTAAAGAAACCCTGGGCCTATTGCTGTCACAGATTTGGGCACAATCCAGCACAACCTGAACTATATTAAGTATTTACTTAAATCTTTGTGATTTCAAAAAGACAAGCATAACTAGATTTTTCTCAATAGTGACTGTCCTGACCTTGAGTGAATCATAATATTTCACATTCAATGCACCATTTTTAAAGGACATAGTAATGTCATATTGCATTGTAAGAAAATAAAGTGCATAACACAATAAAATATATCACGTTGTAAATAAACAAGTTATGGAAAGCATGCAAAACATAGGTTTTTGCTATTCTTTTCAACCTATATAGAAATTGTCATGCTGGCTGGGGAATGCTGTGAATTGAAATACGTACATCTTAAAGTTTATGAGTTTGAAATAAGTAAGTAATAAGTAATATAATCAAGAAGAAGGATAAGATGGCTTAAAAGGAGGGATGTGGTTGCATTCAGATTGAAAGACTTTAAATGGAATGTTCTTCTCTGTACCCCCTATCTAATTCAACCTATTTTCAAAATCATTGTTCCAACAACTTCTCCCCATCCTTCCCTTCTTGCCAATTTTTGGTCCTACTTTGCCTCATTCTTTTAAAGTTAACCTGTTGGCAATCAGACATAGAGACAGAGAGAATTCCTTTATGTCACATCTTTCCCACTTTATGCTTTATAAATAGTAAAAATTACACTGTAAATATCTACTGTGCATTTTCATATTTTAACCATTATGCAACCAACTAACTCTGGACAATTTCATCTGAATATTTGCACATACCTTGTTTCTCCAAAAATAAGATCAGATTGTTGTTTTTTGCCTCCAAAAGAGGCACCAGAGTTTATTTTCGGGGGATGTCTTACTCACCTTCGGCACTGATAATCCCAGCCAGCAGGTCCACTTCTTCTGCAGCCAAAGAGCAGCTTCATTCTGCAGTTGTATTCCGGCCTGCATTTTGCAGCCAGCCTTTTCTAGAAGGCTTCTGTAGCCGAGTCCCGAGCTATGGATTCAATCCATAGCTTGGTGCTCGACTGCATAGGCCTTCCAGAAAGGCCTGTGACTGAGAAATGCAGGCCTGGCTGCAGAAGACACCTCAGAAGAAGTGGGCTGGAGAGGAGAGGCCTAGCTGCAAGGTAAGCGTGTGCGGGGTGCATGGGGTAGATCCATAACCCTACCCTAGCTTGATTTTTAGATGTGTACCTTTCCCCAAAACTAAGGCTTATTTTGAGGGTAGAGTTTATATTAGGCCCACCCCCAAATATCAAGCTAGGGCTTATTTTCGGGGTATGCCTTACTTTCAGGGAAACACGGTATATTATAAATTGTGTTTCTGTGGCTCTTAAAGAATTGCTTCCAAAGTTAATTTTCACGTATGTTGGAAATTTGCTGTATGTACCCTGAGCTATCATAGTTGCCAAGTTTTCCTCAGACGTCTGGGGTACAGATCCTTGACCTTTTCAAAAGTTATGTTCAGTGTGATAAGCTACACCTAAGGCAATTAGTTTCATCTCTTTTAGTTTAAATTAAAAGTGTAGGTAAATGAGTATTCTGGTTTTTGTTTTGACATTTCCCATTTCTTGGATCTTCCCATTTTGTGGAGTGCAGCATTGGCAAGGGCGCTAAGAGGCAAAATGTAGACCAAGATGAAGAAAAAATTGTACTAAATTAAAAAATAAACATCTGAACTAAATAGTACCTAGTTACTGTTACCACAATATTTGTTTTTCAAGTTCTTCAGTGGCTGCAGGAAACCATCATTTAATTGAAAGCCACACAGATGCTGAAGACTTTAAGATAGATCTGGGGGAAAAGATGTTCCTCTTCCAGGTGACATGCATATGCCTTTCTCTTCCCTTTAGCCATCAAGTTATTATGAAAGCACCTTTTAAAGTTTATATGCCTACCACAAATGCTTATTTATTCAGAGATTGTGTCTCCTGTGTTTTAATGGGGTAGTATTTTTCTGAAAATGAAATTAAATAAATGAAAAAGAAAATATAATACTGAAATGTAAAAGGCAAAATAAAATCAATATAACAGCATTACTTTAAAATGAAGTTAAGTCATGCCAGGGATAAATTAATTCTATTAGTTGGCAATAAAGGCCAGCTTTTTATTTAGACACTTAAAGTTTTGATTGGAGCCTTATCAACTGCTTAAAAGTAGTAGAAGGAAAAGACAGAAAGACAGATAAAAAAAATTGGTAGCTATAACCAACCCTGGGAATTCTATTATCAGTACACAAAAAGATGTCCTGATAAAACCACTCCAAAAATCTCTGAAAATCTTACCAGTCTGAATTACATGAATCAAAACGTTTGGCCAATCTGATCCATGCTGTTTAAAAAATAGAGGCCCACAAATACAGTATTATTTAAAGTTTTACCTAGAACCACAAAAGAATCATATGCTTTGGTTGAATAATCCTGTCAAAAATTTGGTTGAGTATTTGATATAATATGCAGAATGCTTGTTAGTTTAACTTATTTACAAGGCTTAAAAGAAAGATTTCACATTTCCATATTTTTTAAAAAAATAGATTGAAGTTGGGAAAATGAGCATTGCCTATCCTTACCTGTAACTACTATACCTTTCCTGATGTAACATAATATGAAAGTGCAATTAGATAACAATTATTAGACATACTTTATGTGCAGTTGACACAACCAGGATTTTCTGCCTTTAGTACTTATCTTGGTAGATTTATGGTGCCTTCTTGTTGTGCTTTACTCTGTGTAATGAAAGCTTTAAAAAAACAAAGTTGTCAGTCATTCTACTTTTGTATGGATGCTTGAAGTAGCTGCAATAAAATAACATATATAGCATGAATGGTGGAATTGTCTTCATCCATATTTATTTGCAATCTGTTCGATGAAAATCTAAGAATGCTGTAAAACATTGTGTAGAATTTAATTTTGTGGATGTTGGTAAAAGATTCTTTTCAGTCTTATAGGCTGCATTATCACATTAGGCTGCATTCAATATTTATGCATGTATCTAGGTACTTGCTACCAGTGCTTTTTTTCTTAAAAAAAAAAAAGGTGACGGAACTCATATTCGTCAGACAACCCGCCTTGCCTATCCTACAAGGTTCCATCCCAAAAAGGTGCCGGAATTCCATTCTGGGCGTTCTATGAGAAAAAAAGTCCTGCTTGCTACCATATATATTTCATATATGTTCTTCTTTCTCATTTGCTTTTCTTTGTTTTTCATTCTTTTCCCTCTTTTCAAATTTGAGCAGGATCACTAGTAGTAAAGTGAGAACTGAGAAACAACTTCTTTGAGGAAAAAGTTGATAATTTTTTCAAGCAATTTTAGCAGTATCAGTTAGAGAGGGAAACTTTAGTCTTTTTCCTGAAACTTACTCTTTCACTTTTTCGCATTCATTGAGTGAAACGGTGAAATGTCTGTTGAAAACTTGATCATTATGAATATATTGCTTTCTAGACATCCCAACTATTAAGAATGTATAGCAAACCTCAGCTATTTCTATTCTAATAAATGTAATAAATGTACAGTAGTACCTTAGTACTGAGCTGCTTTGAATCTCATTAAATTCGATGCATTTTGATGCAAAAAATGTTGTTTTGGTGCTCATAGTTTGTTTGGAACTCAATGCACAAGCTAGAACTTGTCAATGATGACTATTTGTGAGTCACTAC